TGTACTACAGCAGAAAAAAGGAATATTCAATGAATGTTCTTTTCACTTTTGACTACAACCATCAGATCCGCCATGTCGTCGCGGGTTGGCCTGGCAGCGTGCATGATTCTACAGTTTGGGCCTCGTCTTCCCCTGCTCGCCGCCCGGACAGCTTCTTCGATGCCAACCAATACCAAGCCGGCGACTCTGGCTTCGCTTTATGTTTGCGCATGCTCACGCCCTACCGGCTCCCCTACGCCGCCGAAAGCGGCAACAACGCATTTAACACTGGACATGCAAGCCTCCGTGTGGTATGTGAGCATGGAAATGGAATCCTCAAAGGCCGCTGGGCTAGCCTGTCGTGTCTTCCAGTATTCATTCGCCGGTCCGGCGACGTCAAGATCGTGTGCGATTGGATTTTGGCCTGCTGCGTCCTTCACAATGTGGTAAATCTTCGAAATGGCGAAGATCACGTGCCGTTGTTTGTTGAAGAAATCCGTCAAGGCAATATATCCGATTCCCCAGTTGTCGAGAGCTCCCTCATTTGGCGTGAAAAGATTAAATCCGAACTGCTGAGCTATTTAGGATTGAATTAAATTCAAGCAAAATTAGTTGAGTTGCAAGTCGAGTTCACTTCTCTTTATGTCAGATTTTTTATTCTTCATCGAAGGCAATCGACACAAGGTCACGAATTTCTCTGTGTCTACTATCCCTGAAACTACAAGCTTTTCAATCAATAACGACTTGGCTTGGCGCATGTCTACCACTGCAGCTGCCCCACGAGCGGCCTTGTCACTCTCCTTCATGTATTCGAACTTTTCCCGTTCGAGCTGTGTCACTGCGCGGGATGAGCCGTTTTTCGGGAGCCGGGAACTGGCGGGGGATAGTCGGTTTGGCCTTGGGATTGCCCGCAGCCAGAGATGGGAGAGCTGCTGGTATGCCGATGGGCCGCGGTGGGTTGTCCGGGGTGTTTGTGGGGCGGCCGGGGTCCTCCACATCGTTCTTTGTCCAGTAGGCATCATGGTCGGGGTCGTCGTGGGCCTCACGGTCGTCTTGGTTGCTGGTGTACATGGGGTGGTGGCCGAAATGTGCGTCGTCGACGACTTCATGGTCATTCGTTTCGCCATCGTCGCTGTTTAGGCCATCCGATGAATCGTACTCGTTCTTACTCGAATCTTCTACATGGTTGCGGGGTTGCATTAAATTATCATTGTTTGATTCAGTATTTCCATATTTTCACCTTGCACATAACTCGTTTCTACAATGTGCGACGGTCGAAAGTTTTGCCGCGCCCCCAAAGAGTGCATTCATCTCGTTGTAGAATGGACAAATGCTCTCCATCTCGTTGTAGAATGGACAAATGCTCTTCAACGTAGATTCATCACACCCTGTTGCGATATATTCTACTCCTGTGATGACGGTTGATGCAAGGAGCCTTGAGATAATTGTGTAGGCTGTGTATGAGAGTAAGAGCATGTGATGTGGTATTCAGGACTCGGTCAATTCTAACAGGTCTCGTTTCACCACTTGCCTACTAACCCAATGAAATTGGCCATCCCTCATTCCACCA